TAAAATTCTGCCTTTAAAATGCAAAAATTGTGTTACCATTATCCATTGGTAAGATGGAAATTCAAAGGTGAGAGATTCAAGTGCTCTGATTCTTACACAACCAAAAGCTTTTGGGGCTGGATAAATTTTGGGCGTACAACACAAGCCCTGCAATCAATAGCTAGTCCACTGACCACTGAATGTTTCCAACATCATATAATAAATTTAGGACAACAAGAAAATGCAAACCCCCAAACTTTTAATGCACCAGCAGTAACTCAAAGACTCTTACCAATGGATTAAGTGCCCTCAGTAGCAGAAGATTTCTTTAAGACAGATCCCAGACATTTTGAGAAAGTGGCTTTTGCCACACTTGGCAGAAGAGGAAAAGGAGCAATAAACATAAAAAAGTAATATCAGTACATCCTGATTCCACATCCAACAATAGTTTTAACATTGATCAGATAAGCAAAACGCATATATGAGGCATACTCAAGGAATGTCAGTCCTTTAGGAATATCAGTGTACATCATGCAACATTCAAAATCAGACAAGGAACTAGTTTTTACTTTCTGCTCCGAGTGGAGAAAAACGTCCTCCTGAGCCTCCATGAGTGACCAGTTGGAACCCAAAAGTGCAGATTTAATGCAATATAAACAAAGCACCAGACACATTTTTGAAATGTAATTGATTCTTCCAGCTCAGTATATGTTCAAGAACACACAAAACAACCTTAATTTTATATATCTAAGAGCACTTTGTTCATGTTTTATGATATGCTTGATCAGCATTTAAAGCTGTGCCTTAAAATAATGCTAGTTCTTTGTAGGAATTTTGAAAATGCCTTCTGAACTTTACTTTTTGGACAGGTGGAAATATTTTAAATTTGAGACTATGATTACACATGACCCAGTATACAGGCTGGTGATCATGTGCTGACACTCCCATTTTCTTCCTTCTCTGGTATATACACATTCCATATGAGAAAGTCATCATCTTCACCCACTGTGTTGCTAAGCAAAACAAGTGAAACTTTAAAATTTTATCTTTATATGACAGATATTCATGGTTCTAAACATCTGAGTAGGGTTTTATCTGCATCGATTCTGATTTATGCTGATCATAATTTTACACAGATGACTACTTCTTTACACAGAATTCCAGAGGAGGTCATCTCCCATGGTACTAACACTTCTGTAGCTCTGCTAAAAATATTTTGCCACATTCATTGTAGAGCTGCATAAGGTCTTCTCACAAAGCACCCTCCTGGCTTCTTTTATACTTGCATTTTCCAGTCCTCCACATTTTATTCATATTAGCTGTGCCAACAAAGTTGTCTTGCTCTTCTCAAGTGATGAGTCCTTCTCAACAATATCACCTAGTTCTTGCTCTTAGGACACTGATGAGCATATTGATGGTTCCTAAAACTAATCCCTGAGAAACACAATTGGCAATTTTCCTCCTGTCAAATAACACCACCTGTAATACACATGATTGTTGTCTCCATTTATCCAGCTTCTTATCCAGTTCAAGAGTTTTTATATTAATTTGCATGATTTTCACTTAAAGAATGAATTTTCTATGAGGATCTACAATAAGCCATTCTTATATTATGTAAATATACTAGATCTGATATATTCTCCTTGTCTATGAAACTGAAAACTTGAAACAATCCCAAAAAGTAATTATTTTGACCACCAGTAATCCCACTGTAATTACTCCCATTTTTAATTCTCATATGTGCTTTTAATCACTTGTTTCAAATCCATTCCAAATGTGCACAGTGATGAATTCAAACTAACAGCCATGAAATCACTTGACATCCTCTTTCCCCCTCTTCTTGGGCAGCTAGGGATCAGGTTAGGAAAGCCAAATCCCTGCTAGAATTCAATCTCACCAGGGATGTTAAGAATGCTAAGAAAAGCTTCTTTAGGTATTTTGGGGAGAAAAGGACATCCAAGGAGAGTGTAGGCCCTCTCATGAAGGAAATGGGCAAGGTAGTAACTCAGGATATTGAGAAGACTGAGGTCCACAATGACTTCTTTGCTTCAGTGTTCTCTGGCAAGTGCTCCAGCCTCAACACAAAGGCCACAACAGGTGAAAGCAGGGACTGGGAGAATGAAGCACCCCCCACTGTAGGAGATGAACACGTTTGTGACCATCTAAAGAACCTGAAGGTGTATAAATCTATGGGACCTGATGGGATTCACCCACGGGTCCTGAGGGAGCTGGCAGATGTGATTGCTTAGCCTCTGTCCATCATATTTGAGATGTCTCATGGCAGTCTGGTGATCCTGCTGATTGGAAAAAAGGGAGCATAGACCCTGTTTTTAAAAAGGGGAAAAAGGAAAACACAGGGAACTACAGGCCGGTCAGTCTCACCTCTGTGCCTGGCAAGGTCATGGAACAGATCCTTCTGGAAAGTCTGCTAAGGCACATGGAAAATAAAGAGGTGACTGGTGACAGCCATCATGGCTTCACTAAGGGCAGATCATGCCTGACCAATCTGGTGGCCTTCTACAAAAAGGCTACAGAGATGGTGGATGCTGGCAGAGCAACTAATTTCATCTACCTGGATTTGTGCAAGGCATTTGACACTGTCCCACATGGCATCCTGGTCTCCAAACTGACAAGGCCTGGATTTGACAGATGGACCACTCAGTGGATAAGAAATTGGCTGGATGGCTGCACCCAGAGTGCTGTGGTCAGTGGTTCAGTGTCCAAGTGGAGGCAGGTGATGAGTGGTGTCCCTCAGGGGTCAGTATTGGGACCAGTGCTGTTTAACATCTTTGTTGGAGACATGGACAGTGGGATTGAGTGTATCCTCAGCAAGTTTGCTGATGATACCAAGGTGTGTGGAGTAGTTCACACCCAGGAGGGAAGGGAGGCCATCCAGAGGAACCTTGACAGGCTGGAGAGGTGGGCCAGTGCCAACCTCATGAAGTTCAACAAGGACAAGTGCAGAGTCCTGCATCTGGGTTGGCATAATCTCAAGCATAAATACAGGCTGGGGGAGAATGGCTGGAGAGCAGTCCTGAGGAGAAGGACCTGGAGGTGGTAGCTTTTTTTCTCTATGGTTCCAGTAGCTAAAAGAAAAAAAATACAGCTCTGGGTTTTTGTTTCATTTTGGTTTGGGTTTTTGTTTGTTTGTTTTTTCTTTGTGTGTGTGGGTGTGAAAGGCACAGTTCAACATGTCTTTACCCATCATTCCTTTGATTCTATATTTTATATTACCTGAAAGAATGACCTCCTTGATAATAAAGGCCTGTTCTTACTCATTGAGAGTTTTGTACCTATTCTTATTGTCTTGCTTTAGTTATTAGTTCTTTCAGAGACTCTAACCCTTTCCTACAATTTCTCCCTCCTGCACAGCATGCATAGATTATTTCCATTCTTAAGGTAAATCCATCCTTCATTCAGATCATTAAGTTCCTCAGGCCAGTCATCTTCATTCATTGATTTTTCTGTTTTCTAAAAATTTACCATTCTAAAATACCAACCCTTAGCCATAGATTTCTTTTTTTCCATCTTGCAATTTAAGGAGAATCAAGTCCGTTCATAAACACTTCCTCCTGGAACATTAGGTTTTGGTCAGCTGTTCTGTAAAATCCCCATCACACACTGAAAAACTTAAGCTTAAAATAGCACACACTTTGTTGTTTTATGAATTTCTGTACCAAAAAGTCAGTCTTCTGAAATGTCTAAGAATATCTAAACCTTGCTATTATTCATGATATTTATGTCTATGTCTGGAAAATATAAGCCCCCTATGCTCACACAATTTCCCTTCTTATTTATTTCTTTATCTATTTATAGAGATGATTACCCTCTTCCAAATCTCAGCCTGTCATACCATAATATCCCCTTCCCCCCTAGTACTGTCCAAGTTGGGCCGTTTTTTGCCATCTTCCTTGCAGTAAATTTCCTCCTAACAGATTATGTTTTGTTCATGCCATCACATTTCAAGATGAATAAACACAATTTGGCTGGTTTACTTTGCTACAACTTCAAATTTCCCTACTTTTATGTATTTTAAGTTGCATCCACATGGGCCTCTATAAAAAAAATTCCTTGTTTTCTTTTTTGATTGAAGAAACCCCAAGGAAAAACAACATGAGCTTCCCCACCCTTTCACAAAGTCATTATAAATGTACCTATTCATATTAGATTAACTTAATAGCATTTGGTTTGGTTTTTATTTAGCAATATATACTAGTTATGAATAGTTCTTTTCTATACCACTAATGCTTTCTCCTAGTCACTACTCATCCACTTGAATGTGGTATAGGTGTGACTGGCATAGTGATTAGATTCTAGTCAATGTACATAATGCATAATGTACAGAAAATGTGCAGTGTTCAAAAAAACAAAAATGACCAGGAATTTGAACAGTAGGAAACAGTAGAGGTTTACCTCCCATCCACATTGTTGGCATGTAAACATGCTGTCATATTCAGCTTTAACCCAAATTCTAGAGTTCTGTGGGGAAAGTTGCCAAAAAATCATCAGTCACCATCTCTCATAGCCATCGATTTTTGGGTCTGCTCACAGAGGACAGGCAAGGAATGAATTACAGCACAGCCCCTCAGCAAATATGCCAAACTCAACCCTTAAACATCACTACAGCCTAAATTATGGTTCAACAGAAAGTTTGCAGGTTGCCATTCTCAGTGTCAAAATGCTCTTGTCATGCAGTGAGTATAAATACCACCATTAAAATACCTAAACATTCTCTGAAGTATTAAAATTAAATCCTTCTGTGAGTAATATTATAAATGATAACCAAAAGGCTGCATGTCAACTCATTTCCTATCTGAAGAAGATAGAGAACTTAACTTTAGGTTTAAAAATAATTATAGCTGAGCAAGTAGTGTAATAGATTTTTTCCAGTCAGTGTTGCTATGATTTAGATGAGAAGCAGCAAGAAAGATCTGAGCTGTCATACTTGACTTTGAGCTGCCAAGAAGAGGTATTGGAGGTTACAGGCTAAGGTTTAATTTATATTCTTCCTTTTGTTACAGGCAGAGATGGTACGTGCTGCTTTCCAAGCGCAGAGATCTTTCCTGGTATTAGCATCTCAATGTCAAGAGCCTCAAGAGGTAAGAAAAGTGACCTAGAATTTCAAGATACAGTGAAATAAAAAGACTGTGTTTCCTGTTGTTATCAATCCCTGGATTTGATTTTCTTTGTCACGTTACTATACAGCACACTTTCAGTTTTAGTAGTAGGGTGCTGTAATAATTAGAAAACCGTGGTTCAGAGTTAAGAACCTTTCCTGTACTAATATATATATATAAGTTCATTGAAGAAACCAAAGGAGGTCACCACTTTATAGCTGTAAGTGGGATCAATGCTTCTCTGAAAGCTGGAAATGCCGTGGAATAGAATGTTTTTTTGCTACCCAACCAGGGATGCTATACGACAGACTTTGAAGTCAGGGGATAAGCTAGTGAGAGAAAAATCAATACTGGCTCATAGACTCAGTATTCTCCAAGCTGAGGTTCAGGTTAGGCTAATTCTGGCAGGAAGGCAAAACATTTTCTCATGAAAATGAAAATTTGGTCAAGATGATTTATATACTTACTTAGTGGCAAATATTTAAGTCCTCCCCTCACAACTAGAAAGCTCAAGGAAGCTGTGGACTTCTTAGGAAATCTGATTTGCAGTTTCTAGAAGACACAAGGTTTTGTCCAATAGCCCTCTATCATTCCCCAGGGAGTAGCAATCATGTAGTCCTTCTGTCGGACCACCCTCAAACCTTCCTTCTTGAGGTGTGCAGAGAATGAAGACCTCACTTGCACAGCCTCTCCACGGCATTGTCTTCTTCCACTAGCTCCCTGCTCCACAGTTCATTAAGCTCCGTATTTCCAAGTCAAAACTCCCTGTAACTGGCATAAATTATTCAAATTTTGCTGTCGCTGTTGTTCTTATAGGCACAAATTAAAAGTTTTTCTAATCAGTATATTTTATTGGCAAGAATATTCAAGGGAAAAAATAAAACAAACACAGATATTCCAGGTGAGAATTTAGATTTATAGAGTTCCAAGCAAGAAGGGTTCAGTTGTTTCTCCAACTGTCCCTGATCTCAGAGAGTAAAAGTGGGTCATTTATCTCAGAGAACAGGGAAAATTCCCATTGGAACAGGCCTCAAGCAGCCATTCATATTGGCTGTGAATACTGTTGCACCCAGTGGCCCACAAAACTCTTCATGCTCACAGGCAAAATACTCCCCAATGAACAGTTGCTGGTGGCCCATAATGTAATGCAGCGTTCTGAAGTGTTGCTATTGTCCCACCTCTGGTAAGAGTAGAAGCTGTGGCTCACCGTTGGGCCTCTGTGCTAATGTGCTATCACTGTGATTTGCTTTTCAAGTGAGAACAGCAATGGCTTCTCCCCACTTTTACCCTTAAAACTTTCATACCTCAAGTCAAGGCTTCGAGATTTTTTCCAACTGTAAAGTTTAGAAACTTTCATTGTAAAAACAGCAACAAAAACAAGAAGGAGAATAAAGAAAAAAAGAAAAGAAAAAAGAACAGATGTAAAAAGAGATTCTCCAGCCATAGAGAACAACAGTTACAGAAACATCAAGAGAAACAACAAATAAACATCAGCAGCACTGGCCATGTGTATCCCTATGTCTTAGTTGCACATTATCAGGCTTGCATAGATTTCTGCAACTTGTGGAAAGCAAGAAAGTATACTTTTAACATTTATCTATCTTTTAGCACCAAGGACATGCCATATGGTATGTCTGTACCCATCATTCCAAAGTTAAAATAATGGGAATATTACAGACTAAAGTTTCTTTCACAGTGAGAAAAAAACCCAGTCCAGTTACTTAAGGGTTTTTTTTTTAACATAAGGACTGTTAGGTACACATTTTTATAGGCATCCTAACACAAGTTATTGTTCATTATTTTTCTCTTTTTTGCACATATTTTTTGCAATGATACTTTCAACTTTACTATAAACAGACCTGAAAATAATTGAAGGCTGCCTGTTCTGTGCCACTTGAATAGTATTTTCCACTGCAGAGAGTGACGGTTCCAGGCACTAGGCTTTTTATATCTCTGTCTCTGGGGGGGGGGGGGGAAATCCTATTGTAAAGCCGCATTGGTTAACCATTTTGAAAAGGCTGGTTATCAGCAGCTTACCCAGGGGAAGGGAAGAAGCAGGGGTCCTCCCCCATACACCCCAGAAGCTTATTAATGTGATGTCATCTGGGCTGTGGTTGTATTTATAGCCTAGAGCCACAGAGTCACTGTGGAATCCAAACAGGAAAGCTAATCATTAGTGTATCAGAATGCACAGAGCAGAGAAAAGCAAATGAAGATGACAGCATATCTATAAATGCAAGAGAAAAGAGAGTAATTCTGTCATTCAGCTGTCTAGACTGTTTGCTTTATAATGTAAAGCTGTGAATGAGCCAGCGAGTTGCGATTATGGCATAGTAGCTTTGTAGACATTCAGAGACAGCCGTGTGGAGACTGAGGGGATTTACTGAGTTCCTGTCATGTTGGGATGTCATACATGGTGCCTTTAAAAAAAAACAACAAAACAAAAACGAGGGAGGGGAAAATGCCCTGGAAAAATAAATTAGCTCAGCTCTTGCAGCTCACAAACTAGTGAATAAGGAATTCAAACAAAAAGAAAGCTCCTAGATGTACAATAATCCTTAAATGTTATTGTGCTTGGCAAAGAGAGAAATGTATATTGTACAAAAAGCAGTATTTTTTTCCCCTCTATAAAAATGTTCAAGCCCTAGCATTCATTTAGCTCTTAACTCCTGCTAAGAGTCTCTAGCAAACATTTTTGAACAGTTAAGTGTGTTGAAGTTGCTTTTGCAGAGTTTTGCTTCTTGTTAATAATGTTGATATTTTTTCATTTGGAATCGGTTGCAAGTGCACAGCCTTTATTATCTGTATATGTGAAAATAGGAGCTGAGAAGGTAATTCCAGCTGGCATACCAATCTAGCATCAACTGCAATAAATTACTTCACAGAGAGCATGTTCTGTTACTTTTTATGGTCATGTTCTATATTTGTATGTGCAGTGGAAGAGATCACATGACAAAGCCACCGGTTGATATTCTTGTTTGTGTATGTCCCAGCTAATAGCTGCTGGATACAGGCTCATTCAGCAAGATGGGATTCTTCAGTTCACCCCCTTATTAGAAATTATTTTCTGACACCAAACTTCAAATATTAAATAAAAAAACATCTATTATAAACTGTTTGCTATGTATTACATAGTACAGAGAAAGTGAAGAAGGGAAAATAAATTAGAATATTGCTATATTCTATGAGAAGTTGTTTACAAAGGTATTTGGAAACCATGCATTTACATGTTGCTTGGACAAGTCAAAAAATAGATTTTAACATAAACCTTCACAAAACATTACAAAATAGTTGGGATCTGTATTTTCTATTTCCCATAGTCAAAGCCAAATACAATTGTGACTGAAACATTATTATTATTTGTGGTTATTGGTAGTCCTGAGCAAGTTTAACTACTTAACCATTTTTAAAAAAACATATGATCATAAATACTAATGTACAAGGTAACTGCTTAAAGTCACTGCACTGAATTCCTTATGAATGGTAACTGACTGCCTTGTCTTTCTGAGTTGTTTCACTTCAGTTAGAGAGTTCTGACAGTTTTAAGAGTTGCTTTGAGGGCATGAACAATCTATTGATCCCAAACTGGGATTTAGTTAATGAGATACATTCTTCTGTGAATCAGTATAAACATATCTATGATGAGCATATTTGTGGTGAGAAGTACTACAAACAGATTTCAATGACAGATGCTGTTCAGACTAGAAATGATTATGTAATTTCCCATTTTATAAAATGCTGAGTTCATATGACTGCCAGAGCTCATGGATTTCATTACTAACCTTATCAGATAAGCATTCAAATTAAATACCTTGCTTAAATACCCAGATTCTACACACAGGTGGAAGGAGAGGGGTAGAAGAAAGTGAGAGTTTAAGGAGAGCTTTCCCTTTTTTTTCCTAGAAAAGGAAGGAAAAAACCCTGAAACCCAGGAAGCTCTATTTGCAGTTAGAGCCACGAGAATAAATCCTGAGGTTTTCACTTTATAGTCAGGCAAAAAATCTCTTGTAGGAGTAGAATAGTTGTGGCAATTTCTTTGAATAAAGGACTTAGTATCAGAATGTTTATATAGCAATCAAAGATGAACACCTACAGTTCTCTACTTTCTCTCAGTGTAGCACTGCTGATTTTTTAATCTCTTCTATTTTTAAAGTACTTTCATAACAGGACTCTTGGGACTTCTTATTCTGCATCCTAGAAGGATTTGTTTTCTTACGAACTTGACTGGCTTATGTCTTTCCATTTTCCACTACTCTTCCTCATACTTACTGGGATCACCCTTACTTGTTTTCCAAAAATATGAGAAGCAGGATACTCTTCACCTCATTAATTTATTACTTACTTATGCGAAGAAGCTTGAGCCAAGTTTTGCTGCCATTCTACTGAGCTTGTTGACTGCTGCAAACCTGCACCTCTGTATCTAGAAATAGCCTAAGGAAGAATTCAGTTCAGTCCTTTTAAGGTCCTCAGGTCCCAAACTTTCAGAAAGTGCCAAGAGTGACATGGACAGAGCCTGAGAGCCCTGAGCTCCAAAAGGAACCCCTTCCCCCTCCTGTTCTCTGAAATCTTGCCAAACTGTTGACATATTTCTGTTATCAGCAAGCCTACAACTGCATGCGACGTATGGTCACAGCCGCAGTGAGGGACCAAGTGACAGTTTTCAGTCACTAGCCTGCTGCCTTACAGTGTTCACAGGCTCATTTTTTTAAATAATTGTTACAAAATCTTACTCAGTTTCAGGTCCAGATATCCCTCTGACACCTGTTATCTCATAATTTTGTCTCAAGGGTGCTCAACTGCATTCGACTGCATTTAACTAGCCTCAGGCTCATTCAATTTTCTGATCATAGAATCACAGAGTCATTTATGTTGGAAAAGACCCTTAAGATCATCGAGTTCACCCATAAATTAACACTGCCAAGTCTGTCACTAAACTGTGTCCCTAAGTGCCATGTCTACACTAATCCCTCCAGGGACGGTGA